AGAGCTTCCACCTCTCAGCGAGAAGGTCACTGGATCAAATCCCGGCTGGGGGGGCCACCTTTCTGGGTGGAATTTGCATGTTCTCTCCGTGCATGCGTGGGTTTCCTCCAGGTACTCTGGTTTCCTCCCACAGACCAAAAACATGCATGTTAGGCTAACTGGTAACTAAATTGTCCCTAGGTGAGAGAGTGAATGCTTATTTGTCTTTGTGTCCCTGTGATGGACTGGAGACCTGTCCAATAGGGTGTCACTGTCCCCTGCCTCTCGCGCATGACTGCTGGATATGGGCACCAGTGACTCCTTTAACCCAAAAAGGAAGAAGCAGGTAAAAGATAATGGATGGATGGATGGATGGATGGATGAATATTACAAAAACAAACAAGAAATAAACATATTCAAATTTTATTTAGAAAAAAACAAAGTTAGAACATAAGCATGATTGCATACAAATATACACAGAGACATTTTGATCCACACTCCATTGTTTGCCAACCGCCATAAAACTCTGCATGAAGAAGACAAAGAACCAGTGAACCAGATGTGTTTGTACACAGAAACAAGTGAAACATGCAGGATAGTGGTCCTCAAGGACCAGACCAGCACTGGATACCACTGGTTTAGACTTCCTTTAAAATAGAAACCATATAGGGAAATTAAAGTATGTTCTTTTGTAGAAGGTAATCATTCTCCTTCAAGCACCTTTTGTCAAATTAGAAAACCAAAACTGTCTTTAAATAACTAAGAACCAAATATTTTCTTCATGTTTTAGCTTCCATTTTTGAAAGATGTCTTGAATATCATACTGAGACAAGACAAAATAACAGAGGAGAAAACTAACCCCGTAAGGCCCCTGTGGACGGTCAACAGCCTCATGTATTCATTGTTTGTCAGAGAGCAGACAACTTTTTAATTTCCAGCAAAATGTCCATGTGTTAAAGCACAAGAAAGGTTATGAATGGTAATGTTTTTGAAAGGAAGTCAGAGCTCAGAGACCCTGTCATGAAAAAACTCCTTGAGATTTAAAAAGGACAACAGTTACTCTGAATGAAAATCGAGTACAAGCTGAGTCAACATTACTCGACCAATACCTAAAATCAAAACTCACTCACATTTCAATTGTTTCTGTCGTATTTCTTAGATAGATTCGCCACATCTATTTTAAATTTTGATTTATTAACCTTGGATGTATAAATGTGCTGTTTCCTTTGAATAATCTAATCTATAGTCTTGTCTTTGACATTCGGGTCAGATTTTTTCCCCCAACCATCGCTCATTTTCAGATTTGTGCATCTGTGTAAGAGCCAAAGAAAGCTGTGACCTTTGCATTAACAAGTCTTATCTCTGACAAAGAAATAGTTCTCTTGTAAAAGACTGCCTCATATTCTATATTTATCATCTCTTTGACTTTTAAACACGTGTTTTTGTCGTTGTTTTTTTTTATTGCAACTTACACCTGAAAGAAGAGGAGTACCATACCAAAGGGAGCTGGTGGAAAACAGAATTGTAAAAGCAATGGAAGGCTGTAAAATAGTTCTCAGAAACAAGATCTAATGACAAGTGGTGTTTGTCTGCAGCAAAAAGAAGTTACAAGAAACTTATCAAAAATGTCCACCATTCTTTGCATTCCTTTTGATGATTGACTGATGATTGACAGTGACTTTATTTTGTTTTTTACAACTATATACCGTTACGCAGTGAAGAGCAGACTTTTGGTAAAGTGTTTACACAACTTATGAATAATAAAACGAATGTCTTTCAAAAAAGTCATTAGGCTGAGGAAAGGTTTCTGATGAAATATGAATGAAGGCGTGTTTTCAGTCCCAGATCTGTGGAGTTTTAGGTCTAATCTGTGTGTCTTATGGAAGAACTTCCTTTGACTATGACACAGTCTGAGCTTATGAGGTGAAAGGACAGGTCTTGTCTTAGAGGCATTATGTAACCTCATCGCTTGCATATTATTCGGTCGTAACTCAAAACAAGGTCAAATGTCAGGAAGGAGAAGAGGTCTGTCAGTAGTTTTCATTTATACACGTGTGCTTCCCTGAAAAAATCCTGGTCATTTTCTCTGCGATGCAATTTAAAACAGATTTCATAACAAAGGTGCACATTTTGGACCATTCAGTGAACAGTTCAAAGGTTTCCTGATAATTAAATGTTGCAGAGAGATACCCATAATCTCAAGCACACACATCAGTACCTTCTCACATTTACAAAATTAAAATTATTGTCCCAACTGTTTTATTTTTCATCAGTTTGAGGGACAGTTTTTTTTATTATTATTATTTTATTTTACATCATTCAGCATGAATTTATGTTAAAGCGGCAATTCAGACCTTCCACAGTGGGAAAAGTTACGAACAATGAACAGCTCCCCTGCTAAAGCAAGTGCATGCCCTTCTAAAATAGTTCCTGTCTGAAAAATGTCCTGGCAGTTCATGCATATTTGAAACGGTTATTCAGGCAGGTAGGCCATTTCTGCACCAGGACCTGTTGCTAATTTTGCCTACAATTAAACATTGATTTCTATGTCTATAACTATGCCATGCAAAATTGACCATGTATAAAACAGCATGGCCATGAACTCCACAACATTTTTTAAACTGGGATTGTTTTAAGATGGCAGCAGCCTACTTTGCACTTGGCCCAAGCCAATAACTATCTGGACTAGCCGTTAGCCGAAGACTAGCAGCTAGCTCATCAATCTGGTCATTGGTTGTTTATGTTGAAATTCTCAGGAAACATTCAGTAAAGAGTTCTTGCCTTTCAATAATGTTAGGATTCAACAACCATCCACACTCGGGTAAAGTTTCTTGCTGAGTTGCAAGTTTGGATTGCAGTGCAAGCTCACACACCCCCAACACACACACACACACACACACACTGCATTCTTTTTGTAGCCATCCTATTTGTTAAAAAAAAAAAAAATCAGTATGACTTTTTATAACTGTCTATTGTTGTCATCATTCTTTGTTGTAATCAGGTCGCTCTTGTAAATGAGTCCTCGAGGCTCAATGGGATTTACCTGTCTAAATAAAGGTTGAATGAATTCTACATTCCCAGGCCACGATCCAGAGCGAGAGTGAGAGCCAGCAAAGCCGCTGATAGGGGCCTCAAAATACTTATTTGAAATCTCTGCAGTCTTTGAAGTTGTCAGCTCTGTGTGCCAAGGACACCCTTCACTCTAGGAAAGAGCAACTCTGGGTCACTGACACATCCAGCTATGTAATTTGGTTTCCTGTGCGAACTTTGACCTTAGCTTCTATTCTCCTATATTGCCTTACAGCCATCTACATCCACACTCTTTCTCGTGTGTGTGACTTTGTGTGTACACACTTGAAGGACGTTTCTGTATTCTGTCAGCGTTGCCTGACACATGCTAAATGGTGATTGAGAAAAGGAGGTTTGTGGTGAGTTTGTCCTCCGGAGAGTCTGTCACTGCAGCTGTCACAAGAGAAGAGACTACTGCTAAAGCTGGGACTGACTCCCTCTCTGCCTCCTGTTCAAAACAAATGCAACCCTGTGATGTTTTATTCATAAACTCAAGATGCCGACTCTTTGGTCTCACTGCTTTTATTGCTACACTGTTTGTGTGCCTGGACTACACAACAATTCACGCTGACAGCTATGCAAATTTCAAATGTTTGTGTATTCAGTAAAAGACCCAAACAGCTCTGGTTGTAAGTAGGGATGCACGATATTGGAGTTTTAGCCGATATCCGATATGTCGATATGTTAAAATTTGTTTGGCCGATACCGATATTTTTTTTATGTACGTTCCTTTGTCAGAACATAACCCTCTTATTTAGGCTTATTTGCTACAAAACTGCTGGTGACATACAGTATATTCAGTAACAGCCATGATATGCATAGCACTTTAACTTATATTAAATGTAAAGTGTTAAATGTTATTTATTAGCATTAGTCAACTGCGATGCTGTCTCACTTGTGGAGGCTTGTTCCAGGTTCCTAGCTGCAGTGTGGGATCCTCTGCACTCTTGTGCATGGAGGACATCTTTTTAAGTTCTAAGTTTTTGTCTATCCATTGTGCCGTAAGACTAATCATGCTAACGGGGCTAAGACGACATCCAAATTTCTGTGGTAAAACTCACCCAAGTGCTAACGGCTATTAGCTTTTCAATGATGTCGGAAATGACAGCTTGTAACTCGGGTAAGGTTACGTCGGAAAAAATATCTCAGACTGGGGACGATCTAGCGAGGCTCAACGTGGTCCAAAAATCTTAGGAATCCGACATCCTCAACGAAAAAAAACTCCCACACCGCCGACATTTTGACTTCTTCCTCTCCGCCATGATCGGCTCACGTAGGTGCGTGTGATGTCATCACATTGTGCTGCCGCTGCAGGCATCCTTGTCACTGGGTTGTCGTACAAAAACAGCGCCTTTTATATCGGTGATTATTTTTGATGGAATGTCTGATATCTAACTTTAACGCTAATATTGGCCGATATGGATACCATGCCGATAATATCGTGCATCCCTAATTTATGCGCACAATCCTGATATAAAGAAATTAAGCTGCTGATTAAAACAATATTAGCATTAGTCAACAAGCTAACAATGGCAAAACTATTCAAGCAATGAGACTGTTGCTTTGCTTTGAACTCCCACCTGAAGGGAACTACATAGTCCTGGTCTTGCAGCTCTGCTTCAAACTGACCATCTAGATGTAAAATGTATTTCTTTACTCCCAATAAATGTGGCTGATAATTTTTTTAAGGAGTGCAAATTGTGCTTGGATTTATCCAAGGTGGTTGTAGGCTAATTATAATTATAATTATGAATATTTGGAATTTTTTGTTACACAATATGAGGTTGTTTTTTTTTACTTTTGAAGTGCATAAAGACATGACTAGACTATGGTCCACACAAGCTAAATGAGTGAAATGCTTTGTGATTAGCAGGATGCTGCTTCTGTGGTAGTCATACCATGATGATGAAAAGGCCCAGTTAAAATTTTAAACATCAAACTCTAACTCACAGGTCAGGAAGTGGAAGATGCTGTCTCGCCATCATAACGAGAACTCAAACAAACATAAGGAGGCAGAGCTAGACGTCCACCTGGGAGGTTGTCAGTGCTGGGGGCTCCACAACTCGCCTCTCCTGGCCAGCCCCATCATCCTGGAGTGCTCCATCTGCAGTGGGCCCTACATCAGCTACGCCCTGGAGGACACCTGGCAGCCACGCCAACGAACACAAGTAGGTTCAACATACAGCAAATGCTCATTCGATAATCAGCGCTATTGGTAAATGATGGATCTTTGTACAGAAATTGTAGGCCTACAATGAAAATGGCTAACTAAGACAATTAGTTTAATTAACATTCTAAACAGGCCTCTCTTGTAAATGAGTCATCAAGGCTCAATGAGACTAACGTGTATAAATAATGGTTAAATTGCAATGAAAAATAACTACAGCAACACATTATATCACCTTTAAAGTAACATAAATCATCTTGAGAACAGTCTCAAGGTGTTACTTAAATAAGAATGAGTCTAATTTGACAGGAGTCATCACTCCCAGTGTTCCCGTGTTCTGCAGTAGTATAATTTGTGCTGACATTCTTCTTCATTGATTCAGTTTGTGTGCCATCTTGCCATAATTGTAGGTCAGCCTTTGGAATTTGAGCAGATTTTGCTTTTTTTTTTTTTTTTTTAATAAAACATTTAGTTTAGCTACATATTATTTAATTCCAGTGTAAAATGCTAGCCTCTCTAAATTAATTTCTGATTTCATCTAATTGTGTTTCGACATACATTATAATAACCCATGAGCTACCTCAGAGCTGGATCATTTTTTTATCTTCAGAGTTGTCTTGTTGACCTGTTTTCCTTTCTGGGTAGTTTTATTAAAGACATAGAAGAATTGCTTTACTATAAATTTGATAAAAGCATCTAACTTACTTTTTTAGCCACTGGCACTAATGGACAAAGTTGCTAAAAGCTTTTCTGGGAACTAAGGTTCTTATGTTGCGGTTAAATAGATAAAAATGTGTATTTTAACAGCAAATGGTTATAAAATATGCAACATTAGAGTTAAAGCACCATAATTTTAACGTCATGATATTACTTCTACTCACAAATTCACAAAGCAAACCCGTTTGTCTCTAAATACATTTTTTGACACTTTTCTAACTTATTTTCTAAAGTGCTATTCCTCGTTGATTCACGCACGCGCGCACACACACTGCTGCCTCAACAAGTCAAACTTTAAGTCTTCTTTTAGAATAATAAATTTGCCATGAAATATTAATGAACAGAAACTCCAGACTTTAGATCACCATGGAAACGGCTTCCATCAGACCCCCTACCCACTCGATAAACAACGTGAGAGAGGGCAGGAGATGAAGGAGCGCTGGGAGGCAGCTGGAGAGGGATGTAAATTCATGCAGAAAAAAAAATGACAAGGTTACAAATGGCTAACCCTGCATGTGGATGAATATATTTGTGTGTCCGTTAGGAATCGATGAAGAGACAAACACTGTTAGAGGACCTAAATGACCGGCAGAGCAGGCAGACTGTTGAAAGCACTAGATGTGTGAACAATGTAAGAAAAGTGAAACCAGCCAAATGTACACACACCACACACACACACGCCCCGGCTTGTCTTGCACGCAGAAAACACTCATGGGAAACTTACAGAGATTTGGGAAGAGTTCAGAGCTGTGGCACGAAATAAACTAGACTAAGTATTTAATAGAGACATCAGCATTGCTGACTATATATACTTTGTATATAAATATACATACAGTATATATACTTCATATATAATGATCCGATGGTGCAGTTTTATCAAAATGAGATTAATATTAACAGGTCTCTCTTGTAAATGAGTCCCTGAGGCTCAATGGGAACTAACCTGTATAAATAAAGGTTGAATGAAAAATATTATTCTTTTGTCTCATGACAGCTACCAGTCATGGGGATTGTGAAAAGAGAAAGTGCAGCTAATGTTTAAATTAGGGTTCATGTGTGTTTTATTTGATTTTTAACTCAAAGCTGATCTGATTAAATTCACCATAAAGAGAGCAGCTGTTTTAGTTCCCTAAATTAATGCGCAATAATCCAGGTATAAATCCAACAATGTTCAGTCAGGTCATCTGGATGGTTTAGATTTTTGTGCTGTGACCTTTCGTCCTTCATCCAAAGGACTTCTTCAATCTGAGGAGCCACCGAACTAAACTGAATCCCACAAGCAGCTCACTCCCAGAGTGGAAAAAGCTGTTTGCTGGTGATAAGATGTGATAAGGGGCCCGCCCTCTCCCCTGTCAACTCCTCTAAGGCAGCCATGCCAAAGTGGTTCAAAACACCAAAGTTGATGCTCAATAATCCAGGTATAAATCCAACAGTGTTGGAAACTGTCCAGATGACTTGACTGAACATTGTCAGCTGTTTTAGTGAAACTAGAACATATGATGTTGTTGCAACATTGAATAGCACTTTTATTTTACTTCCTCTAACTTAATTATTACTTTTTCCCCACATGTTGAAATGTTGTCAGTGTGTTTGTCAATCACGTGTTTTTCCAACAGACTGTTTCCTTCTTGAACTTCTCAGATTCAGACACGTATGACAGTGTTGATCGCCACTATTGTATGACTCCTCTGAACTATCTTCTGCTTCAAGATGGAAGGAGACATAAAATAAATAAATATACTATATATAAATATTCATTTAGTGGTCAGCCAAATATATTAACATTTCAAGTAAAAAAAACACCTTCAATGTTTCTATTTATTATAATTTTTGCCCCAATTTAGTGTTAGAAGTTTAAAAAAGAAGTTTGAAGTCATGCCCCTCCAGCAAACAATGTTAGGAAACAATAAACAATGAAAAGTATGTATAGCATAAATTTATGCTTCTACTTTGTATTTTCTGTTGAGAAACATCCAAAATTCCACACTGTTGATTGTTAAAAGGTTGTGTGAAAAGAGCCTTCACAAATGCAACATCATTCATGCTTAAAGAATGAAATGGCAGTGAATTTGACAGTGATTTATGAAAAGTTGTCTACATTTCATCTTCCAACTAGATCAGAACGTTGTGGTATTTTTTAAACAAACAGATCTTTATATCGTTTACAGCTGTTTGGAAACATCTGTAGGCTCCCGTTAAGAAGCAGAGACAAGACTTGAATGATCCAGAAACACATCAGATTTGTTTCACGAGGGTTTTGATCACTGATGTGGGGATAAAACTGGGATTCAGACTTCAAAGTTTTTCCAAAACACAAACACGCAATTTTATTTTATTTTTTTTTGAAGCATCGACTTTGTAAAACCAGCGCTGCACCACTGGAAAATGTTGCCTAACTATTTTGACCTTGTTTGTTTCCTGTTCTAAACATGTCATGTTTTTATGGTTGAATACTGTTTTAAATATGCACAAGGTTTTATTTCATTTACAGTCTCCCCTAAGTTTCTGTTTAACGGTACCACTATACAATAAGGTTCCCTTTACAGATGGCTAATAAGTAGTTTATAGATATGTTATTAATTCATCTATTAACACTTTATAAATCATTAATAACTGTTTATTATGCATTAATTAAAGGTGACAGAGAAACAAAACTGACCAGTTTGTTGCCAAATAGTGAGTCAAATCTGCCACCTATATATTTACTAACTAATTTACTACCTTGTAGGCACAAAAAACATTTGAAAACCTACTTTTTTATTTGTAGATACTTAGTATCTAGAAATCTAGAAGGTAGTAACTTAGTCTGAAATGTTTAATATAACAACTAGATGGAATATATAGGTGAACAGATTTGGTTCACTATTTGACAAGAAACTGGTCAGCTTTGTCACTCTGTCACCCTTAATTAATGCATAATAATCAGTTATTAATGATTTATAAAGTGTTTATAGAGGAATTAATAACATATCTATAAACTATTTATTAGCCATCTATAAGGGGAGGATTATTGTAAAGTGGTACCTGTTTAACGTTATCCAAGGGATGTAGAGCACCCATTGAATATTGCTGTATGGGAAAATGTCTCTTTTATATAAACTACTATAAAAAGGAACAACTGCACAGATAAACATTAATGGATTTATACTGAACATAAATTATTATCCCTGAACAAGTTGTTTTTCTAAGTATTGCCAAACTGTCTTTTGTCTGCAGGCGATGGACCTGTACTACCACAATGAGTCAGACTCGGACAACTACTGTTGCCCTGGCGACAACGGTGAGTAACCGACAACAAAGCCTTTTGTTCTTCTTGGATTCATCCATTTCCTCCAACCGTCTTCTTTCCAAATGTTCCAACACAATTACTTCACCACAAACTTTTCTTCTTTGTTGTTCGTCTTCATGCTCCCTCTTTGGCTTTTCGCCTCATCCTTTATTTGTTTCCCCGAGTCCAAAGTGGAGCTCCTTCTGTTTGTGATGACTTTATCTTACTTGAGCACTTTGCTTTTCAATCCAGCCTCTAAACCTGCAGGATAATTACTGTTGTCCCAAACCACCGATTACTGTTATTCCTTTTTGTGGAATTTAGCAAAGCAGCTCTTTACAGACACAATCGTCAGGACAGATCATCACATGAACACGCTGACCTCGTCTGTTTACAGCTTCACGCCAGCTGTTGGCTGCGTGCAAGCTCGACGGCTTGGCCTACATGTATGTGACACCGCTTACGGGTGAGAGTCCGTCTGCGTTTATTGCTGAAAGGACTGTAAGTCAGGGAACTTTGTCTCGCATCAGAATGCTGATTTGTGCCACAAATCAGAGTCCGGTTTAAAGTCCACGAGCTGTGACACGATCGGCGTGCTCGGACGAGACATGGGCGCTAATGAGCATGTGAGCTCGCTGTGCAGTTATACAAGTCTGGATCGTTTCTTCATAATCAGCAGATGAAAGGTGGCATTTAGAATTGTATCATCATCAGTAAAATGCTTTACCTTGAACCATGCACTCATTTAGTCATGTATAATATTCATATTTTTTAATGCAAAAATGAAATAATTTCCTCGAGTCATTGTTAGAACACACATTTATAAACGCATATTACAGTATTCTAGCCCCCTGAGTATTAAGCTATTCCAATGTTATTAGATATTCTACTACTTTATTGTTCTAACCTTTAAGCTACACTGACCATTTAATCCAATATTATTGTTCAATCTGATATATTCAATCATTATATATGAGCTCACTGTTCATGTTTGGTGATATGTTTTCTTGTTATTCAAAATGTCCAATATAAATATGAGTAAAACAGCAGATGTGTAAGTATAAACATGAGAAAAGGACTGAAATAGATCACTTTGTGCCATTTTTGAAGATCTGCATTTATCTGGAACATCTTTAAGAATCACAAGAACCCCATTTTGTTTGAAAAAGAGGTTTATTTTTTGCCTCCCGGTTTGCTTATTATAAAAAGAGCTTTAAGCTTGTAGAGAAGTGTGTAAGCAATTTACTGAGCTGCTGACAAGCTGTTCCTGTGGCCATGGCCGTCTCACTGCTACACCTTGTTGATCCAAGTTCACCAATTAGGGGTTTTAGGAGAACTCGGAATTTGAAAAAAAAAAAAAAAAAAAAATTACTTTTATGAGTCTTGGACACAGCTGTGTGCCAACAACAACAAGTAACTAAAAGTAGGAGGCAAATAAAGATGGTGTTGATTATGGGAAGCAAAATTTTGACTGAGTTTAATGAAGGGACACAAGTTTAAGGTTTTTACATTTTGCTTTAACATACTGGCTTTGTGCAACAAAATGCATTTGCAAAATAAATAAATAAATCTTAAAAGCCTCCGTGTGTTTATCATCCTGCTGCAGCAGTGAATCAGCGTTTATTTTCCTACTAATAGTGCTTCCCTTTTTCAGAGAACATTACATAACATGTAATTACAGACCCTGGATTGGAGTTTGTGTGTGTGCTCTTCAACTTTTTGCTCTCACCGTGTTTTTGACGTAAACCTCGCTTGTACCAGCCTGCCCCAGGAGCTTTAAGAGGCACGCCTACTCAGAGACACGCACTTATTCACAAAAACAAAGTAAACACATACTTTACGGATCCTTAAAGACACTCTGAACCCAAATGTGCCCATTAGTTTAGAGGTCTGAACATTTTTATAACAACAAAAGTGTTGATAGGGTTGGGTGGTTTTTATTGCTGTGTTTTTGCAGCTGGATTAAACAGCTCCTTTAAGAGGATAGGTCAGATGTTCTGAAGTAGAGTTCTGTGGAAACAAACCATATCTTACCTGTTGTGGAAAGATGACTGAGCGACTTTGATTGATTGGAGAAGCAAAGTTGAAATCTGATTGATAAAATAGCTGGTCTGAACAGAGTTTTGCTGTCTTCAAACAACTTGGGTCCCAAGTTTCGTTGCCGTTCATGTGATTATTATTTGATAAACCTTTAAGCTAACATTATGTTTTATTTCCAACAGTAATATGATGATATTCCTGCAGGAAGTGCCCTCAGCTGCACCAGAAGTGCTTCCTGCTGCTATTAATACATGCAAACAGATATAAAAAGTCATGTAATGCAAAATTGGTACACATTTGCATAAACTGCTATGAATTTTTTTGCGAATGATGGTAGAAGCAATCCACTTTAGAACTGGTCTTGGTCAGAATAACTTATATCCCACATGTGGGCAAAATAAGGTCCGAGGGCCAGAAGTGGCCCTTGAGCCATCTCAATCCAGCCCTTGGCGTCCTCATACAAAAATAAAGAAACCTGGAATAAAATAGCAAGTTTCAAATGTTTAGTAATGACTCGTGAGGAACAAGAAATATACGGATTCTTTACCAATTTACAGAAAAATGCACTTTTTCAGGGCAGCACGGTGGCGCAACTGGTAGAGCTGCTGCCTCTCAGCGAGCAGGTCCTTGGTTCAAACCCCGGTCCAGGGGCCTTTCTGGGTGGAGTTTGCATGTTCTCTCCGTGCATGCGTGGGTTTTCTCCGGGTGCTCCAGTTTCCTCCCACAGACCAAAAACATGCATGTTAGGCTGATTGGTAACTCTAAATTGTCCCTAGGTGTGAGTGAGAGAGTGAATGGTTGTTTGTCTCGTTTGTCTCTATGTGTCCCTGTGATGGACTTGCGACCCGTCCAGGGTGTACCCCGCCCCTCGCACAGTGATTGCTGGACATGGGCACCAGCGACCCCCATGACCCAAAATGGAATAAGCGGGTAAAGATAATGGATGGATGGATGCATTTTTTCACAAAAATAGACCTGAGCATTTCTTTGCCAGGATATATAGGGTCAGAGGTTGTACTGACACATGTATGAAGGCTGATGTGTGAAAAATACTACACTAAACTAAATATTGCATGTTGTTAGCCATTGGTTAATGTCTGAAATAACTGCCACGAGGGCTATTTTATAAGCACTAGATTTAATGGGTACTGTTGTGTTTTCAACAAATATGGCTTCCTTTTTGTGTTTCTTTTTGCAGATGATGTGATGTGTATAATAGATGCAGGTAGCAACATCTGACCATGCTTCAGCTCAAACAGTGGCCCTTAGAGCCAGTTGACTAAATCAAAAAAGCCCTCTGGGAGAAAATAAAAGTTGCTCACTTGTTCCTCAGCTCAACTGTTTGGGCAGAAATAATCTTCTCCAAACTAAAATTGTTCAAAAAAGCTACCTACAGCTGAGCAGATGGTAAATGTTTGCAACCTTTTTCACTTCAGCTAAGCAGTCGTTCACTTATTATAGGGTTTGTTAATTATTGCTCTGGATACTTTGTCTTGAATTTTATTATAAGAAGAATCAGGCTTCCCTCTCCAAGAATCTTCCACTAAAACCAGTTCCATGCTGGTTCACTTCTAGAAAACTACTGTGATGCACAAGTTAGATTTCCATCAGTCGCACACACCTTTAAGCCCACAAACCATCTTCAATGGATTCATTTAAAGATAAAACTCAAACGAGGAGCTACAGCAAGGATGGACACATGACTTCCATCAGAAGGGATTTGAGGGGATAAGTAGGGCAACCTTCTGGTAACCCAGAAAGCCAAGCAAGCCACACACACATTAAACCAAACACAATCATGGCGCCCAATGACACAATAAAGGCTTAGCTGTCCTCCTTCTGAATAACAGAGCTCTTTATGTAATGCTGTCGTTCGGTTTGTCACCGCTGAGGCTCATTCTCATTCATCCCCAGATCAACTGAATCCTCATCATCCTCAACTGAAAGAGGGGCAGATGTGATGGAAACATGTTGTCCATCTGAAACAACGTTATTGAGTGTGAGTGTGTAGGATTTATAAGTGTCATACTCCAACTTTAATATCCTGCACCATGGCAAGCTCTGTCCTTTCCTGGAGTGGCCCACAGAGAGTTTCTGAGTGCGTGAGTCAGAGCCACTAGGTTACATAACGTACTCATGTTTCAAACACATATAGAGAGGTAACAAATCCACAGCCTGAGTGGTGTGGAGCCTCCTCTTGTTGAGGGGGCTGAGTACTGAGCTGCCTGTGTGTGAATCGAGAAACGAAAGAAGGGGCAGAAAGGAAAAATACTAAGAGGACCTTTTGTTTGAATCACTCCCTCTCTTCCAATCTCCGTTCACCATCTCTCTTTCATTAGATTCAGTGCTCAGTTGTATCAGAACAAGAGCATTTACCCCAGTGGAGGTAATCTAGTTTTCCTAAAGAAACTTTTTTTAACCTTTCTCTAAGTCAGGGGTCCCCAACCCTGGTCCCTGAGGAACACCATCCTGCATGTTTCAGTTGTTTCCTGCTCCAACATGCCTGATTCAGTATTTACTTGTTTCCTCAAGTTCTACAGAAGCCGGTTAATCACCGATTCATTCATATCAGGTACATCAAAGCAAGGAAACAAGTAAAACATGCAGGACGGTGTTCCTCAAGGACTACAGTTGGGAACCACTGCTTTAAATTACTGATGTCTAAGTGACTTTGCCACCCAAAAAAGGTTGTTTTCTACAATGCATTTTCTCCACTTTTTTATTTCTTTTTTTAAAGATAACAATGGATGTGGAACGTTTTACTTGCTTGGCACGCGCTGCTTGTCATTGCTGATGAAACATGCCACTTTGTGTCCCATGAGGGCTTTCTTTGTGGTGTCAGGGATGAGAAATGATACATGAAATGTGTGTTGAAGGATGGTGCTGCTTCATCCTGGACTGTTTAAAAGCAAAAAAAAGTGTCTTTATCAAATTACACAATGGGAAGCTGTATCGTAGTTTCAAATGGCGCA